TTTTTTTTTTTTTAAAAAATTTTTTTTTTTTTTTTTTCTTTTTAAAAAATTTTTTTAATAAACCCTTTTTTTTTTTTTTTTTTTTTTTTTTTTTTTTTTTTTTTTTTCTTTTTCCTATGTTTTTACCATAGGAGGCCGAAAGGCCCTTTTTATTAACTGGTATAGTAGTTATGTTACATGTTTATACAGTTTCTAAGGCTATTTTCTAGTTTTATATTTATACCTTCCTTCTGAGTATCATTTCTAGTTGACTTTTCTCATTTTCTTTTATCTTCTGATCTGTGAGAAGGATCTGGATTTCCTTTGACAGTTTCGTTGTGAGGATTTGTAGGATGACTGTTTCCGGCATTCGACTCTCTCCCCACTTTTCATTCGTGTACCAGCATCATATTTCATACACTAGTGTAATGTGGATCCAAGTTTTGTTAAGATATCCTTTATATTCTGCTAAGTTAGATGCTGTTATTACTTCTCCTATTGTGTTCGGGTTCGGAATTGTTGGGGCAAGTCCCAGGTACTGATAACCTTTGCGCCAAATAATTTGGCTAATTCGGCATTTAACTATGAAGTGTTCTTGGTCTTGAATTTCTGTTGAGCACCAAGGGCATGCCCCTGTTTCTTCCGGAACCCAGTGCCGCAACCGGTTTCCTAGAGGGAGAGCTTTATGTATCATTCTCCAAAAAATGTCTTTTTTTTGTTTAAGACTTTCTTTGTTTTTTTCCATTTAACGTATTCAGAGGCCTCCGACTCTGTCCTTTGATTCTGTTGTGCCATAGTAGAAGTTATTGATAATTGTCTTAGAAACTCTGTGGCCTTGGCCACTGAGAATGTTGAGCCATCAGCTTCCATTACTTTAAGTTCCTCTATTGGCCACGGCCAGATTACTGTTGTGTTTGGGATTTTTCCTCCCAGCCGTTTCCAGGATGTCAGGTAGGGCCTCCATTCGTCAGGCCAGGCTTTTAATTTAATAGGTTGACGAGTGAGAGCCTCCATGACTGTCATATTTCTTTTTCGTTGTATATTAGATTCTATGATCTTGCGCCCCATTTTTGCCCATAGGTTATTACTTGTTATTAGCTTGAGCCAAACTGAAGCCAACCGCGCATCTATCATGTCCTTCACTACTGGTGCTTGGAGGCCATTCTTTTCGTGTGGATGTTGAAAAATCACATACCAGGGGAGCATTTGTGATTTTGTTTTAATCCAGTTTATTATTAGTTCATTTATTTAGCTGAACACTATGAAAAGGGGTTAGGAATTTCAAAAAATTCCAGTGAAGCCCTGAGGCTATATTTTGATGCTAGCAATGGCGGGTCAAATGATGCCAAAATTTGGTTGGCATCATATTATGATAAAAATAATAATCACCAAAAAGCTTTTGAGCTTTATTTAGACATTTACATTGGAAAAACAAATAAAAAAACAAATAAATATAAAAAAATTGATTTATTGTTAGCAGAACGTATTAAAAATAATAGGGGTGTTTTTACAGATGAAAAAAAAGCTGATTTGAATTTTATTCAGATCTTTACAAAAATGTTGAAGAATACAAAGATTTCGCCAGAGCTAAACTAGAAAGCTTCCAAACTCATAAACGAAACCTTAAATAAATGAATGTATTTCCTTTGAAATAAATAATTATTATAATATTTCATTTTTCAAAGAAAATTTCAATTATTTTGAATATTTATCGTTATGGTATTCACATCCATTAAAATCAAATTGTTAGATGTGTTTAATAGAATATTGTCTCATACAATTAACTATTATTCGGCGAGTACTTCTATTATTTGTTATTTTATTTATTTATTTTTTTTACTATTCGTAAACATCCTATTCAAATAAGCAATACAGATTTTCCAAAAAATTTTTCAAATATCGATATAAATTTATTTTTGAATCAAAGAAATTAGCCTGCCAGATCTATTTTAAATTTCATGTATAAAATTGAAAAATTTATTTTACAATCCCAAAAAATCTTTATTACTCAAAAACAAATGGTATTAGCGAGTGCTCTCATTTTTTTTTATATGTATGTTGTAAGTGGGAATGGAATTTGGAATTTATTAATAAATTTAGTATTTTGCCATAGAATTATTCTATATAACCTATATCCTCTACTTTAACCCTAACCCTAACCTTAACCTATTCTGGTCATTAAATTTGAAATTTAATTAAAAAATTCTGTATCCACTTAAATTCCGTTCCCACTTACAACATGTACATTTAAAATCCTTATAAGATGAAGGACAATATCATAAAGTGCTGAGTTGTACCCAGGCAATTTTGAGTCTAAAAAGCTTATTTATGCAGAAGTAAAATACTAAATAAACTTCAAAAGAAGTACCTCTATACACTTGGGAAATATCCAAATTATGAAGTAAAAATATTGATTATAATTAAAATATTTAAATATTTATCAAAATTAGTGATTCGGCATCTGACCTCGAAATAAATTTATACTTTAACTTTTTAAACAGAGTATTTGTAATAAAATAAAATCATGTACTGTAATTATGTTACAAAAATATACCGATACAGTACATTACCCCCCCCCCAAAAAAACAATCAAACTTATTTTTTTATATGCCAATACGTGTACTTTTACGCGAAAAATTTAAATATTTTTAAATTACTGATCCATTAAAATATCTTTATATGTGCATACTTAAAAATACAATATTTGTGAAAATTTCTTTCACACAGACAAAATATAAAATTTTTAATAAATAAAATTTACACCATCATTTTAAATCAGTTAATTTATCAACTAAATTCCATACTTTCTTATCATAATCTGAAAGATTAGTGTGAATACAAAGATCAATCGGAGTGCAAGGTGATGGTTTTGTTGTTTTGTTTTTTACTTTAGAACAATAACCAATTTGCTTACTCTTTGGTCTATAATTGTAATTGGGATACATAATATTATGAACTTCTTTTGCACAATCAGCCATTAACTGGTAAAGTTGTTTAACCTCATTACTTTCTTTTGACCAATTTTTGGCCGCTTTTTTTGAAATAAATTTGATTTTTTTTTTTTTTATCTTGGCCTTTATTAAATGCCACATTATTAAATGCTGCATTAAAGTTCCTCCTGTATAATATGAAACTATTTTGAGATCTTGGAATAGTTTTTCGATTTCGTCGATTTTTACTTGGTGTAATGAGTTGATGAAGAGGTAAGACAACTATTTCTCTAAGTTTTTCAAGTACAAAATCTTCAATGTTGTTTTCGATTATTTGTTTGATATCTATTCGATTAACTCGGCTTAATTTTGATGGAGGAGTAATAAAATGATAATTCATTATAATTTTAAGACAAAAGAGATTTTCGTCGAATTCTGAATTTTTAAAATAAATATTTGGCTATAAGGAAACAAGACGCTAAAGAATATTAATCAAAAATACAATACAGAACTAATAATAAATATATAACTTATTTTTTAAAAATTATAAATTAAATTAATTTTTCATACAAATCCTATTCTAATTTTAAATTTAAAAAAATTTTATCAAAAAGAATCCTTTAGTAACGCGATTTTAGATCACATATTCAAGGAGGTAGTTAAAAAAAATCCTTCTGAATTATCAGTGAGTCAGTAGCAATCAAACAATAGTGATAAAAATATTTTCAATTGATTAGTTGGTTAATTCAAAAATCTTTAATCGATTAAACGATTAATCAATTTTCATTTGTATTTTTGTTTAAAGTTTTAAAAATTTGATCTATTGACTCAACCCAATTACTTACACTAATAATATAATAAACTATTGGCCATGATTGTCAATAATATATAAAATAAAATTACGCGTTTTTTTTTAGTACAGTACTTTTGGTCGTTCTATCGTCGCTTTTGATGATTCTCTTTTGTTGTTTCTTTTCATCGCTTTTTTGGTATTTTATCCGTCCTTTTTTGGTATTTTTCTTTCGTCGTGTTTTTGGTGTTCCTTTGGTGTTTCTTTGTATCCTCGTAAAACAATTCAGCCGTGTAAATAACAAGTAATGATCGCAACTCCGGGCTTTATTCATCAAAACGGTAACTCTCTTGATTAGTTTATCAAATTCCGACTAATTAAAATTTTACGCCAGATACATCATCTTTTTTTTTCATTGCGATACTCACTTGATCGGCGAAAGATACTGAGCGTGACCTGAGTGTGACCTAATGTTTTTTAAAGATCATGGGTATATTTAATCTTACAATGAATAAGCTTAAACTTTAATCTAACCAAATTAGTCTTAAAAGAGAACAAAAAATCAATTTATCATAAACTTCATTATTCGACAATTAAGGTTCCGAGAAAATTATACTGAAAATAAAATTAGTTAGCAAATTAATAGTAAATTAACCAATTAACCCTAAATAAGCTATTAAATCATATCCTTAGCAAAATATATTTATTGATTAGGGGAAAACGTGGAATATTTAAATTCATTTATTTTTTTTGCTCATCGTTATTTTCAAAAATTTCCAAATTTATTAACCGTTATCACATGACAATTAAGGGAAGATGCGATATTATTCTGAAATCCCTTAAAAAGAGGAAATGGTTCTTAGACCTCCAAATTGTTTTATAGGATGGAAGCTTGAAAAATTCTGAGATATCCAAGATTGTCGCTGAACTAACAATGAAAATTTAAGTGGTTATGAGTTAATATATATATATTTTTATTTTTGTTTTGTTTTTTTAAAGAATTCTTTTTCTTCATTCTACTTTGAAACAAATTTTATTAATAAACCGATTTTTTTTTTTTTTTTTTTTTTTTTTTTTTTTTTTTTTTTTTTTTTTTTTATTTTTCTTCTTTTTTTTTGCTATTGCTCC